AGAACTGAATTCTGAGGTGGTTCACAGTGACAAGCCACCAAATTCAGGTGGGCAAATTGACATGAGACATGACAAGAGCAGCTTAGAATTCCCCAAATTGACCTAATCCCTGTCAGTGGTTCTGTTTTCTCACCTGAAGCTTGAGATATGTGAGGGAATGAAATACACAGCCCTTCTTGGGGTGTCTTCTCATAGTGCAGTTCCTGGAGCAGTACAGAAAACGAACACAGAACAAACGCATTACACATGAACTTGGTTTTAACTGCCCAGACACTTGCTTGGCATTCTGGGCAAAAAGGAGCAGGAATGGCTTGGCATGAGGCATCTGTTCATTTGTGCTTTGGCAAGGAAATACAGCTTTTCCCATCGAGCCTGCTGCTTCCAGCCAGGCCCAGCAGGAAAGGTTTCCTGAGCTGAGCCAAGGGAATGGCTGTAGCCGTGGCCCTGGCAGAGCCCAGGCCTGCAGAGCCCACCCTCTTCTTGCAGGTACCAAGAGTCACTCACCTACCTGGTCTACGCCTACCAAAGCAACACCAAGCTGCTGCTGAAGGGAACCAACCGAGGCGTGAGCGAGTCGCTGATCGCGCTGTACCGAAGGAAGTGTCTCCTGGTTTGTATTGAGGAGCTCTGCACTCGCTTGGGAGAGCAGGGGAGGGGGCTGCCAGGGCGCCATGGCAGTCAGGACCAGTGTAACTGTTTCTGTTTGTGTGATTCTGCCCCTTGCTGAGTGCCAGCAGCAGTATGGAAAGCTAACAATAGTCATAATTCAATTAAAGAGCATGCCACATAGGTTTGGGGAGTCTGGGCAAAGGCAGATCTGCATCTTGCCATCTTCAAACCAGAGCTGTAAATAAGCTGTGTGCTCTCTGTATACAGATTAGCAAATTGCATGTATGTGGATGAATATATTATTTTCAAGTTTCTTTTCTGTGCTGTGTTTCCCATGACTGAAAGTGGCTGTTCCACCAGAACCTGGTGCTGTTGGTCCTTATTCTCTGCATGGCTGCCAGTGCAGGGCCCAAGCTGGGCCTTTCCTGGATGGTTATCCATGGCCCATGCTTGTTCTCTACAAGTCTGTCCCCAATTCTCCTTCCACGCCCAGAAGCTGAACGAGGTGGCAGCTTCTCTCTTTGTCAGCTGTGAAGAAGCTCATGTGTCAGAGGGTGTGAGCATCCTGAACGAGCTGATCATCCCCTGCATGCATCTCATGAACAACTTTGAGATCTCCAAGGAGGACCTGGATGCCATCGAGGTCATGAGGAACCGCTGGTGCTCCTACTTGGGACGAGAAGACATGGATGGTAGGAAATGGCTGTTGTACATGGGCTGGGTAGTATTGGGATCTGAACTGGGAAAGAATTAAAGGACCATCTAAAATTCTTGGTGTCTGCACTGCAGCCCACCAAGGCCCTTCTAATTGTGGGAGGAGAAATGCATTTGAATCACCTATTAAATCCTGTTACAGAAGAATTAATCTTTTGCACTAAAACACGCTGCAGAAGTGTCCCTCATCCCTAAAATGGGACAGTTGGTGTCCCAAGAATGGCTTAGAGTTCCCTTGAGGGGCTTGGGTCTTCTGTTAGGGTTTCTCCCTGACTGGAGGTACCCAGAAATGGCAGACATGCTTGGTGGCATGGCATGGTCTTCTTCAGGAGGGAGGAGCAGGTGTTATCAGAGGCCAAGGTTATGGAAGATGGAAGGGGGGGCAGATTTGGGGCATCTCTGCCTTCTGAAGAGGAGTTTGTTGTTGTAGAGCTGAATGTTGGTTCTGGGCAGCTGTTCTTGTTCTGTATTTTCTTCTGGAGTCAGCCTCTGTGACTCCCCTCAGGTCATTTCTCTTCAGACAAATTGGTCCTGACTTGCCTTGATGTGTGCATGAAGGTCTGGGCAGTCCCTGCAGAGTTTTTGTCACTAACAGGGGGTAAACTTGATGAAAGAAAATTATGCAAAACCACAGAGGTTTATCCTCAAAATACAGTTGCAAAAATTAATAGTGGATTAATTTATCCCAGTTCCTGGGCTGGATGTGACAGTCTTTGCTTAGACAGAAGGTTTTAAAGAACCAAAAGCTGAGTGCTCACCTCTCCCGGGTCGCATGAGCTGGCTCAGGTGTTGCCTGCTCTTCTTCACCCCATAGGGGCTGTGGTGTATCGTGCACTCCAGTGGCATCCAGGCACAGACCTGCCCTGGGAGTGGATGGTACCAGCTCAGCTCGGGCTGAACTGGCCTGTCTGAGGACGTGCAGCATGTGAAGGCTCCGTTCCCCTCAATTGCACAGTCAATATTTGAGCGTCACCCTGAAGCACACAGTAATTCTTCACCTGACAGCCAGGACAGCGACGCCTTTCCAGGGAAAGCGCTGTCTCAGTGGGACATGGCGTGTGCTCAGGCAGCCAGGTGGCAGTGGAGCTTCCCTCACGGAGCCCTGGGAGGCTGCTCCTCTGCGGCAGCAGCCATGCTCATCCCTGGGGATGGGCTGGGCAGCTCTCAGCGCAGGGAGAGGAGTCTGCAAAGGCACCACAGCTCCTCAACTCCTCCTGGAGCCCTCTGCCCTTTGCTGCCACTGACCGTTTCCTCCTTTCCCCCTCGACAGCCAAGCTGCAGAGGAAGCTGGGCGAGCTGCTGCCGCGGCTGCTGGACGGCTCCACCGAGGTCATTGTGCTGAAAGAGCCGCCGAAGATCCGGCCCAACTCCCCCTACGACCTGTGCAGCCGCTTTGCGGCCGTGATGGAGTCCATCCACGGCGCCTCGGCCGTGGCGGTGAAGTAGCCGCAGGCCGCAGGCCGCCCGCCCGGCCCGCCAGGCAGAGCTGCAGCGGGGAGCAGAGGCAGGGCTGGGATTCCCAGCTGTTCTTTGTAAATACGAGCGGATAAAAAGCAGTATTGCACTTGTGAGGCAGAACGTGAGGCAGTAATGCGAAGGACCTGGACCACTGTTACAGTGCAGGGCGCAGGCCCCAGCAGCACCGTGGGGCCCCGCCGGGCTCCAGAGGCTCCTGTGTCCTGGCAGCCTGCTAGATGCAGCCCCTGGGCCCGTGATGGCACAGGAGCCCAGCTCTGCTCAGCGCTGCGCTCTGTGGCAGGGCTGTCGGGCACTTCCACAGCTCCCTGAATTCATGGCCACTGCCAGAGGTTGCATGTTGCAGTCCAGCCAGACTCCTGCTCACAGGAGCCGGGGCTGAGGGAGGAGGAGGCAGCAAGGAGCAGTGGCTCGTGCTCTGCAGCGTGGGCAGTCATGCACGCAGCTGACTGTTGTGGTCTAGCCAAGCAGGCTTTTGCCTTTTGTACTCCAGCTGGCACCAGAAACCACGCAGGAGCCTTCCTTGAAGAAGCACAGGCAAATCCTGGCAGTGAGGAGCCAGGACGGGGCTGTGGGTTTGTGCCTGGCAGGAGCTGACTGGCTCAGGGCAATCACATCACCCCAAAGGATATTCCCCTTGTGGCTGGAAAGCAAACTTCCTTCTCCCCTCGGGTGGTGGGTCAGGGCGGGATTACTGTTAATGACAACTGTGAGGGCTCAGATCAGCCCGTTGTGTTGGTGGTGGGTGTTTGTGTTGACTTTGTTAACAAAGTGCCCTGTTGGCATTTCCTTTTGCGGTCGCCCTGTGCTTGCATTTGAGCTGAAGCACTTGTAAGCCAAAACTTCTGAGTCAGTGGAGGGGGATCCTGTTTTTTGGAACTATGCAGAGTTTTATAACAGTGCAATAAAAGCATTTGTTCTATGTTAGAATGAAAAAAGCTCCTGCCATGTCTTTATTTCACCCTAGGGTTCTGCCTGAAGGTTCCCCCTGCAGAAAATGTGTTGTTGCCTTAAAGGTGGCTCCACCATCCTGTCAGGGTGCTGCAGTGCCTGCATGCTGCTCTTGCAGCTTGCTTCCCCCATTGTTGTGACAGAGCAGTGGGATGAGGTCTTCAGCTCACTGCTCGGGGTGCTTGACCTTCAGTGGATGGAAACATGGAGCTCTTGAGCAGAGCCCCCAGGCCATCACCCACCCGGGCCATGCTGCCTCCTCCCAGCCAGCAGTTGGCATTGCCAGGCAGCTTTTGTGCACTTGGGAGCAGTAGGATGTGGTTTGGGAAGAGGAGAGCCTGTTCTTTCTCGTGAAACAGCGGCTTTGCCCTGTTCTTTGTGTTGCTGCCAGAAGCTGAAATGCCCAGCCCGTGCCCACAACCTGCTTTAAGGAACCAACAGAGAGTATCAGGAGCACAGAGTGGTGCCAGGGTCATCACGGTATTTGGACTGGGCTGGACAGGAGGAGTGTTCCCAGGCTGGAAGCCTTGGCTCACTGTCCTGTCCTCCCATTTCCCAAGGGAATTACAGCCAGAACTGCCTCTCTGTGCTCCCTGGTCGGTCAGCCCTCCTAGGGGGCTGGCAGGGGGTGCAGCTCCTTGGAGGGTGATGGCCAGGGGCACTGCCCCTCAGTTCTAACGTGTTTGATTCTCTTTCAGAAGGACTGAGCACCTGCCTCTTCCACTTCACTCTCAGCAGCACCAACTGTCCCCAGTCCTGCAGCATCAGAGCTCCCAGGGATCATCACTGCTCCCTCTCCTTGCCCATCCGCTCCTTCCTCTCCTCCAGCTGAGCAAAGTGCAGGTTTCAAAATGGGACTTAGAGGGAGTGGACTTTGCTTCCCCCAGGAATGCCGCTGTCGGCCGGGCCTTCCTTGAGATGGGTCACGCGCCCACGGCTTTGAGCCTGCAGGGATTAAACCAGCGCTGAACTCCCTTTCCACCCGGGCCGTGGCAGCGGGCAGGCCCCTGTCAGGACTGCGGGTGCTAATCCAGCCTGATGGTCCATGCTCTTGCTCACAGAGGTGTGTAATCAGCCTTCATTTTTACAGCTGAATCAGGAAAATGTGGAAGGAACAGTTGAGACCAGCAAAAACCCTTTCTTGCCTCTTGTGCACAGGTAAATGATGCAGCCAAGGAACTTTTGACACAAAGGTCTGTGGCACTTATCGGCTTTGTCATCTTAGCCATGAGAAGATGAAGCTCTTGCAGGGCACACGGTCACTGCCATCCCACTTTTGCAGCAGGAGCAGAGCTTGGTGCTGCCTTGTCTCTCATTTTCCTCCTTCCCCCTTGTTTTCCATTTTTCTCTCTTTTCCTCCAGTATTTTCTGGACCGACTAAACCACAGCTGCAGCAGCAGTGCTGCCCCTTGCAGCTCCCACCCTGCATCCCACCTCACCAAGATACAGCTGCACCTTCAGAGCACAGACACACTGCCAACGGACAAGATAATTTATTGCAAATACATCAGAGCAACGCAGACATGCAAGGACAGAGCTGCTGCACTGGGGCACAGCATTAGCCACGACAGACTTGGCTGTGGGGGACTCGCCAGGGATGCCAACAGAGTGTCACCCATCAGTGATGGTACCACGGTGTCACCAGCAGTACAAAGTGCTGCCTGCTGCTTCTTGCCTTCCCACACTTGCTTGGTGAGTGCTGCAGGGAAATCTGCTGCTCCTTAACAGAGAAAAAGTGAAGCAGACACGCAGAGGAAGGAGAGAAACCCGCAGAGCTGCCGTAGCAATTAGCAAATCATCCTGTGAAACAAGCAGGAGCCCTCCCTGCCAGGGGAAGAGCCACGAGGCACACAGGGCACAGCACGCTGAGGCCCTAGATGACCAAGTCTGCGTTTTTGGGGTGCAGGGGGTGGCCCCCAGGCAGGCCTCGTGCAGCGGGGGCCTGGCGGCCGGCGGGGGCCAGCGGCGTGGCGCTGCTGGTGGAGCGGGCGCTGCAGGCAAGGAGCAGTCCTCCAGCGGCCAGGAAGGCTCCAGCAAACCACCCCAGGAAGGTGGCCTCCCCAAACTCCCACCTGGGGACGATGTCGGGGACGGTCTCGTCCCAGAAGTCGAGGACGGTGTTGTAGGCGACCCAGGAGACTGGCACCAGCGTGGTGATCCCCGCCATGCCCAGCGCCGCTCCCCCGCCAAGCAGGAGCTGCCGCTTTCGCCCAGGTTTGTCCTCGCAGGTTCTCCAGCCCTCCAGCCCCAGGGCGGCGAGGAGACAGCCCAGCAGCCCCAGCCCGTTGGACAGGCACATCAGGAGGCGAGAGATGCGCAGCTCGGGGGGCAGCGCCAGGAAGGAGCCGTGGGCTTGGCATTCAACCACCCCCTCCTCCTGGGTGATGCAGACCTGCCAGAGCCCCATGTTCCAGACCTCCAGCTCGTTCAGGTCCAGGTTCAGGTTCTTCCAGAGCGGCACGAAGGTGGTGACGCAGGAGCTGATCCACCCGAGGACAGCCAGCAGCATCCCCCCGCCCTGCGCCTTTGCCCAGCAGCCCCCGGCCATGCTCCGCGCCCCGCTAACCTCCGCGCCCCGCTTACCCGCCCCGAGCGGCGGCCGCGGGCATTAACGCTTGTGCAGCAGCGTCCGCCCGGCCGCCGGCCGCGTCTGCCGCCCGGGGGGGCGAATTCAAGCCTGTTCCTCCAACGCCGGGGTGTGGCCACGGTCGTTTTTCAGCTGTTGTTGGTTTTTCCACGCTAAAAGGAGAGCCCGGCTCAGCAGGAAAAGCCGGGTGCATCCCCGCGGTAGCTCCGAGCTGGGTCCCGCCGCTGCCTCGCCGTGCCCAGGAGGGTTAAGCCAAAGCACGCAAATCCTCCGAGCCTCGGCCACCCCGGAGCGAGGGCCTTGGCAGGGAAAGCGATTCTGGGCAGCAGCAGCAGGTCCAGCCTCGGTGGGACACGGCTGGCGCCGCAGCACAAGGTGCAGGCAGCAGAGAGCCGGCGTCGGGCTTTTCTGGGGAGTCGGTGCCTCGCTTGGAGGCCTCGATCCCCATTCGGTCATTAATTAATATGCAAAGGAGCCTTTGAGGGCTGCCTTGAGAATGGGCATGTCCAAGGGAGGAAGCAGGTTTCAGGTGGGCCTTTCTCGAAGGTGGGCATTGATCCCCCCGTCCTGCACCCTGCGCTTCACCAGCAGGTGAGACTCGTGGTGATTGTGCGTGAGGAAAGTGCTGTCCTCATAGGAGACACCCTGATGCAAGCACAAAGCTGGGCAAAGCCCACGTACATCAGCTTGGCCCGGTGGAAGGTGTTTCTGTGGCAGGGGGTTGGAGCTGGGCTGATCTTTAAGACCCTCTCCAAGCCAAGCCGTTCTGGGATTTGATGAAAAGGATGAAAAGGAAAATCCCAAGTTTGTGCTGGCACTCGGCTCCCATCCTCCCCCACGTGCATTGCCTCCGCGGGGTCCAGCTTGCAGATTCATCTTCCCTGGGAGATTAGCGACTAATCTCTCCTTCATCCGCCGTCTTTCTTATCTGTATCGGGAGCCAGACTGGAAATTACTGAGTCCTGCTGGTCCCGGGGTCCAGCCCTGGTGAGTGGCAGGAGGATCTTTGCAGGGGGCTCCCACAAGGAGGGGCGAGGCAGCACCGACCACGTTCAAGGTGGAAGCACAGACCAGGCAGGAGAAAGGGGATGTTTTCCAGCCCTTGCCGACCATCCCGTTCCTAAGAGCAGACAGGGAGCATCATCCCGAGGGCAAAGAGCAGGGAAATCCGCTGGGAAACCCCTCCTGCTCCTTCCCCCAGGCATTGGGGCACCTGCTTCTTCCGATTAAATCGTCTCAAGGTAATTGTGCCTGTCATTGAGACAGATTAACGGGTGACCTTCTGCCGCTGGAGGAGGATTGGCGGCCGCCGCCGAGCTCCCAGTCCTTCTTTCCCTCCCACCGGCCACGGTGGCACGGCCGGGCCGAGGATTCCCGTCCACAACCGGTGGGAAGATGCCCGGCAGTGGCCGGGGCGCAGCGGGAGCCACCAGCCGAGAACGACGGCTGCCGGGCTGGCAGCCGCTCTGCCTGGACATGAGGTGGGTGTCTCCCGCGCCCCGGGGTCTGGGGGGCCGGGAGCTTGGTCCGGAGGGTGACATCGTCGCAGTGAGGCCGCCGGTCCCGCTGCAGTGGCAGGGGATGCTCGAGGGGGGCAGAGGCCAGCGCTCCCACCCCATCCCGTCCCGATCCCCGCAGGTCGCTGCGCTCCGGTTGCGTTTCCAGGACCGTCACCTCCCATCGCGTCTCCCCGGGCACCGGCTGGACCAGCCTGTCCCGAGGAGCCCGGCGGTGGGATCTGCGTCTCTCTCACAGGCTGTCCTTCCTCCGCACCTAGGGGCCATCCATTTCTACTCGGAGCTTCTTAGAGAGCCGGCAGCTACCGCCACGGCCCGGAACAACCGCGGACAGTGCCTTAGGGGCTCACCGGAGCTTGCCGGCTGCCGGGGCTGCTTCCCAGCGGAGACGAATGCCTCCTTCCCCGGCCTTGCAAAGCAATTACGGCCCTTAATGGGCTTAGCCATCTGGAGCCAGCCCGCAGGCACCCGGCACAGCTCCGGAGCGGGGACACGCGTTGCTGGGCACGGGGGGCACCCCCAGACCGCGGCCCCTGGGGATGCGGAGCGGGGCCGGACCCCCAGGCTGCTTTCCGCGTCCCGAGTAACCCCCGCTTTGTCTCCCCGCGGCAGGACCTCGCAGCCCGCCCGGGGCTGAGCCGCTGCCATGGTGCTCCCCTACGCCCGCAACAGCGGCGGCGCCGGCGGCTGGCTGCCCCCCGAGGAGCCCCGCGGCCGCAGCAACTCCATCCCGCCGGCGCAGACCCCCACGGCCAAGCACATGCTGGCCTACCTGCCCCGGCCGCCCAGCGACACCAGCCGCTACGGCACCTTCCCGCAGAAGGTACGGCTCGCCCCGGGCCCCGCGGCACCCCCGGCGCCCCGGGGCTCGCGGGTGCTGTCCCAGAGGATTTCTCACCCCCGGGCTCCTTTCCCCCCCGCAGCCCGATCCCCCCGCCGCCGCCGAGGCTCTGGTGGAGGACGGCGGGCAGAAAGCCGCCGGCACTGCCAAGAGAGGCGCCGCGATGCCAAACTGCCCGTCCGCAGCCCGTCAGAGCGGCCTCGGCCCCGGGGAGCCGCCGCTGCCGCCGAGCCGCGGGAGCCTGGGCGCCCAGCAGCCCCGCGGGCGGCCCTCCTGGTGCCCGCCGCCCGCCCCGGCCGAGCCGGCCGCCCGCCTGTACCCGCTGCACGCCCTGAGCGTGGCCAACATCCCCAACTCGGCCCGCGGCAAGGGCTCGGCCCGCAGCTCCGCCGTGCCCACGCCGGAGGGGCTGCAGAGCCGGCGCTGCAAGCTGCTGGAGGAGGAGAGCCCCGCGGTGCAGGCGGGCCGGCGGCAGCGGCAGCGCTACGTGACCAAAGTGGGCAAGTGCCAGGTGAATCTGGGCAACATCCAGGACAAGAAGAGGTTCCTCTCGGACATCTTCACCACCATCGTGGACCTCAAGTACCGCTGGTTCCTCTTCGTCTTCATGATGTGCTACGTGGTCACCTGGGTGGTGTTTGGCTCCATCTACTTCCTGGACGCCTGGCTGCGGGGCGACGTGGGGCACCGGGGCGATCCCGAGTGGCAGGCGTGCATCGAGAACGTGGACGGCTTCGTGTCCGCCCTGCTGCTGTCGGTGGAGAGCCAGCGCACCATCGGCTACGGCACGCGGATGGTGACGGCCAACTGCGCCGAGGGCGTCATCCTGCTGATCGCGCAGTCCATCGTGGGCTCCATGATCGACGCCATGATGGTCGGCTGCATGTTCGTCAAGATCTCGCGGCCCAAGAAGCGCGCCCAGACCCTCATCTTCAGCAAGAACTGCGTCATCTCCCTGCGGGACGAGAAGCTCTGCCTGATGTTCCGTGTGGGGGACCTGCGGGAAAGCCACATGGTGGACGCCAAGATCCGGGCGAAGCTGATCAAGTCCCGCCAGACGGCCGAGGGGGAGTTCATCCCCCTGGAGCAGTCGGAGCTGAACCTGGGCTATGACACGGGCGAGGACCGTCTGTTCCTGGTGGAGCCCCAGATCATCTGCCACGTCATCAACCGTCACAGCCCTTTCTGGGACATGTCGGCCGAGTCGCTGCGCCGGGAGCAGTTCGAGATCATCATCATCCTCGAGGGCATCGTGGAAGCCACAGGCAAGTGCTCTCAGGGAGTCAGGGTGGACGGGGGGGCTCCCTGGGGTCCTGGAGACGCTGGGCAAACCTGGGCCCAGGAGTGGCATCTGGGCAAGAGGGGCTCGGGGTCAAAGCCGTCCACAGTGGTGGGGCTGGGAGCCCCCCGTGCGCAGCGGGGGCTCCTCGTGGCACCCGGCACAGCTCGGCCCCGTTCCCCCCGCAGGAATGACGTGCCAAGCCCGCACCTCCTACACGGAGGACGAGATCCTCTGGGGATACCGCTTCGAGCCCTGCATGTCCCTGGAGAAAGGCGCCTTCCAGGTGGACTACAGCCGCTTCGAGATGACCTTCGAGGTGCAGACGCCCGCGGGCAGCGCCAAGGAGCTGCAGGAGCTGAAGGAGCTGGAGCAGCAGGAGCACTCCACGCTCAGCCTCTACTGGGACCACCTTTTGCAGCCGTGCGCGCTGCCGGGGCCCGGCGAGGACGCGGCTCCGCAGCGGGAGTGCCCTGCCTGAGCCCCCAACAGTGCCATAGCCCACCCCGCGCGGGGCTGAGCCCCCGCTGCAGCCCCTTCTGCTTGTTGGGTTCTTCTTTTGTGACGGGGAATGAGAGGCGTACGCAGCGGGAGAGTAAAGGCTGCTCGTGACAAAACCACCCCGGCCGCGTTTATTCTGGGGGAGCCTCAGGGGGCACGGGAGAGGCAGAGCCCCCCGTGCCACGGGCTCAGTCCTGCAGCGCCTCATGGAGCCCGACACAGCCCCGTGCCCCCAGCACCCCAAACTGCCCCCACGGCCTCTCTGACAGGGTGTCCCGGGACTCCCCCAGCAGGGAAATGTCACACGGGCTGGACACGGTGCGGTGGAATTAAATTGATGTTGTTACAGGAATGACACTGCCGGAGTCACCCGCGGCACTCGGCAGCGCCTGGGCCTGAGCCAGGGGCCCGGACTGAAAAACATCAATAAAATCTGTGTGTGCAGGGTCTGGCTGGGCTGAGGAGCCTCCCTGTGCTCCCCAGTCAGCTGTGCCTCGGGGGCTGCAGAATAACCCCGCGGATTTAACCCCTTGGATTTAACCCCGTGGATTTAACCCCGTGGATTTAACCCCATGGATTTAACCCCTCTTGTCCACCTTTGCTTTTCCTCCATCAATCTGCCTTTGCATCTCCCCACAGAGCCCCGGGCAGGGTGTTTTCAGTCCTCACCTCACCTCTGTCCTGCCAGGGGAGGGATGGAGCAGCTGGAGGCCAGCCCAGCCCAGCAGGGATGAATGGAGGGTGTGATGTAAACATACAGGGTGAAATATAAACATATAGGGTGTAATGTAAACATATAGGGTGAAATACAAACATATAGGGTGGAATGGAAACATATAGGGTGTAATATAAACATATAGGGTGAAACTGTCCCGTTCCCGTTCCCGTTCCCATTACCCGTTCCTGTCTCTCCCATTCCCGTTCCCGTTCCCGTCTCTCCCGTTCCCATTCCCGTTCCCGTTCCCGTTCCTGTCTCTCCCGTTCCCGTTCCCGTTCCCGTTCCTGTCTCTCCCGTTCCCGTTCCCGCGGGTGTCGTTCCCCGTCCCGGCCGCCAGGCGTCGCTGCCGCCGCTCCCGCCCGTTCTCCCCAAGTCCCGCCTCCCGCGCTTCACTTCCGGCGCGTCGCGGTGACGTCAATCGCGGTGCGACGCGGTGACGCGCAGAGCTCTCCGGCGGCGGCCCAGGTGGGACCGGAGCGAGAGTGGGACCGGAGCGGGGCGGGGCGGGACCGGGCTGGGCCCGGAGCGACAGTGGGACCGGAGCGGGAGCGGGCTGGTCTCGGAGCAGGAGCGGGGCGGGACCGGGCTGGCCCCGGAGCGGGAGCAGGCCGGGACCGGAGCCCCCGCACCGAGCGGTACGAGCCCGCCGCGCCCGGGGGGGGGGGCCCCGGACCGGGAGCGGAGCGGGGCGGGGCGGGACCGGACCGGGCTGGGCCCGGAGCGAGAGTGGGACCGGAGCGGGAGCGGGCTGGTCTCGGAGCAGGAGCGGGGCGGGACCGGGCTGGCCCCGGAGCGGGAGCGGGAGCGGGACTGGACTGGTCCCAGAGCGGGACCGGGCTGGCCCCGGAGCGGGAGCAGGCCGGGACCGGAGCCCCCGCACCGAGCGGTACGAGCCCGCCGCGCCCGGGGGGAGCGGCCCCGGGCGCTGACGGCGGCCCTCCCGCAGCCTTGCCCCGGCGGAGCCGTATGGCGCGGCCCTGAGGGGAGATGACCGACCAGGAGAACAACAACAGCATCTCCAGCAACCCCTTCGCCGCCCTCTTCGGCTCCGTGGCGGCCGCCAAGCACTTCGCCGCCGTCCAGAAGCAGCAGCAGCTGCGGCAGCTGGCAGGTGGGAGGCGCGGCCGGCCGGGGCAGGGCGGGACAGGCCGTCCCCAGACGCTGAGGGCTCTGTCCGCAGGCGAGGAGACGTCCATCAGCCAGGATGACTCGGACAACAGCGTCTCGGAGAGCCTGGACGACTGCGACTACTCGGTGGCCGAGATCAGCCGCTCGTTCCGCTCGCAGCGCGAGCTCTGCGAGCAGCTCAACATCAACCACATGATCCAGAGGATCTTCCTCATCACCCTGGACAACAGTGAGCCCGGCTGCGGGGCAGCTCTGTGTGCCTGGCGCGGGAGGGCACAGTCCTGCCTGCAGGTGCATCACGTCCCTCTGCCCTTCCCAGGTGACCCCAGCATGAAGAGTGGGAACGGGATCCCGGCGCGCTGTGTCTACCTGGAGGAGATGGCTGCAGACCTGGATGAGCAGGACTGGCTGGACATGGACAATGTGGAGCAGGTAGGGAGGCCTGCCTGGGGCCGCCTGCAGGCTTTGGCCACCAGACTGAGTTTGGCCACCAGATTGAGTTTTTTTCCTCAGAATGTACAAATGTATCCCAAATCCTTTTCCAAAATGAAGCTGGCAGTTACTGTTTTGCTGGAAAAGTCCATAAGATTTTTGGGGTATGAGACGGAGAAAAGTGTAGAAGTTGGGGAATCCAACCCTCCCTCCTGGAAGCTGCAGGAGTTTGCTGCCCTGCAGGTCTGTGTGGGTGGGAAAGGGAAGGAAAACCAGGGAACTCAGTGTCCATGCACACCCTCATCTTCATTTGCAGCGTATCAGTCACTCCTGCTGAGCATTTCAGGGGTTTCTGGTGGGGTGCTGTTGTTCCATGAGGCACTGGGGGATTTGCTCAGGGCAGAAGCAGCTGTGGTTCTCACTGCAGCACTCTGGTACCCAGCGAGGGACAGGGAGAGCCTTTCCCAGCAGGAGCCGTGCGCTGCGGAGCTTCCTGCTGTGCAGGGCTGAGCCCCGTGCCGCTGTGCCGTGTCACTGTGCCCCTCTCTGGTGCTGCCCAGGCCCTGTTCACGCGCCTGCTGCTGCCCGAGCCCGGCAGCCACCTGATCCCCATGACGTGTGCCAGCAGCCAGAACCTGTCGGCCGACCGCGACGCCGGCGAGAGGCAGATCCTGCGCTACCTCTACGCCTGCTTCCGCCGCGCCCGCCAGGAGGTGGGCACTGCCAGCCCCGCCGCCCCGCTGCCCCGCGGCGCCCCGGCCCGCCCGTGTGACCCCGCTGCCCTGCTGTCCCCGCTCAGATCACCAAGGTCCCCGAGAACCTGCTGCCCTTCGCCGTGCGCTGCCGCAACCTGACCGTGTCCAACACGCGCACCGTGCTCCTCACCCCCGAGATCTACGTCAACCAGAACGTCTACGAGCAGCTGCTGGACCTGATGCTGGAGGCGCTGCGAGGGGCACGTGAGTGTGGCCAGCTCGTGCCCCTGCCTCAGGGCTGCGACCTGCCCTGGAGCATCGTGCAGTTGGGGGCTGTCACGGGGGCGCTGGCGTTGTGCCGGCCTCAAACCATGACAGTGAAGCTTTGGCTCCCCTGGCTGCCAAAAGAGGGGTTGTGTTTGGGTGGGTTTGGCGTTGGAGCACTGTGAGTAACAGCATCCTTGTACCTCCTGCCAGAGTTTGAAGACATGACCGAGTTCCTTGAGGAGGTGATAGAAGCCTTGACGATGGACGAGGAGGTGCGCACGTTTGGGGAGGTCATGGTTCCCGTGTTTGACATTCTGCTGGGGAGAATCAAGGAGCTGGACCTCTGCCAGATCCTGCTGTACACGTACCTCGATGTGCTCCTCTACTTCACAAAGCAGAAGGACATAGCAAAGGTGGGTACCCTGGTTAGGCAGGAGCTTTTTGCAGGGGCACATGTACTAGACCTGATCTGCAGAGGTCAAAGCAGCAGTGTGGTGTGACAACTCCCAATGTGTGTAGTCAAACCCCTGCTCCCCTTCTCGTAGCCTGCCACAAACCCATCAGTTTGTTAGGGTTTGTTGCTGGGATTTTGGACAACTGTCAGCATGTCCTGATGTGTTCCCCAGGTTTTTGCAGGCTACATCCAGCCCAAGGATCCCAGCAATGGACAGATGTACCAGAAGACTTTGCTTGGTGTTGTTTTAAATATCTCCTGCTTGTTGAAGACCCCTGGCGTGGTGGAGAACCATGGCTACTTTCTGAATCCATCCCGATCCAGCCCACAGGAGATTAAAGTGCAGGAATCCAACATCCATCAGGTGGGAGAAGGGGGTAGTTCTACTTCCTGCAGTGTTAGTGATCTCTCATTGCCTGAGGATTCAAAACGTGGTATCAGGGCTTGAGTTCCACTGCTGGTTCACCAGTTGAGAAAGTGACAGGCAACATTCTCTCTCATTTTGCAAGTAAATTTCTTCCTTAGAGAAATGCCACTAGGATAGTTCCAGTAGGTCAGGAGTGAAACGTGAGGATGCAGGATATAAACACAGGAGTGAGCTGGGGTGCAGAGGTCATCCCTGAGAGGGGCTTTCCCACTTGGGTTCTTTCAGTCTGTCAAAAATAGGCAAAGAATTTTGGATTTACTCCGTATGAGAACAAATTGTCTCAGCTGTGCTTTTGAGAACATCCCTAATTGTTGTTTTCTGCCAGCCCCAGGATCTGACCTGCTTGTAACAGCTGTGTGTGATGGGTGATTCACGGGGTGTGCTGAGGAGTAGGAGAGGGTCTGATGGCAGAGATGTCAGAGAGGCAAAAGAACAGCCCGCAAGGACTCATGCAGCTGTGTTCTGTTTCCTCTAACAGTTCATGGCCCAGTTCCATGAGAAGATCTACCAGATGCTGAAGAACCTGTTGCAGCTGTCACCAGAGACGAAGCACAGGATCCTCTCCTGGCTGGGGAACTGCCTCCATGCCAACGCGGGCCGCACCAAAATTTGGGCTAACCAGATGCCAGAGATCTTCTTCCAGATGTACGCCTCAGATGCCTTCTTCCTCAACCTGGGGGCTGCCCTCCTGAAGCTGTGCCAGCCCTTCTGCAAACCCAGATCTGCAAAGCTGCTCACCTTCAACCCTACCTACTGTGCCCTGAAGGAGCTGAACGAAGAGGAGAGGAGGAGCAAGAACGTACACATGAAAGGTACACCTAAGCACTGGGGACTGAGGGAATGGGAAAGGGGATCTCCTCAGGTCCCCACTTCACCCAGTAGTGCCCTCTCAGTGGATGCCATTAGGGTTAGGGGACAGTTAGAAGTGTGGCTAGAGAAGAGCAAGAAGAGAGCTGAATACAAATAAAATGCTGCCAATATCACCAGGAGCCCTTTTGTGTCCTCAGGAGCGACCCTCTTAAGCCCTCAAGCCCTCTCCTCACCAGCACTGCTGGGTAGGACCTGATGCAGAGATGCTTTTCCTTACAGGTTTGGAAAAAGAAACGTGTTTGATCCCTGCTCTGAGCGAGCAAGAGCCGCAGTTTGCAAACAGCTACAACCTGGTGACAGAAAACCTGGTGCTCACACAGTACACCCTGCACTTGGGGTTTCACAGGTACTTTCAGTTCCCCTGGGGCTGTTTTCCACCCATGTGCAGCTATGCACATTTCAGTAAATACTCTGAACACAGGGTGGCCAGCTGAGCTGCTGCTTGAGCTTCAGCCTGACTGACTGCAGGAAGAAATTTTGCTCACATTTTTGCTAAGCAGCATACACTCAGGCTTTAAACCATGATTGTGGGTTTTGATTCTCAAATCCCCTTGGCCTTTCTGCAAGTGTTT